AGATCTCATCATGAGCTACAAAGGCATTCTAGAAGTGATTTTTTAGTACAATTATCAAGGAAAGACATTGGAGCACAAATCAGTGTAGAGTTAAGTTTCAGAAGATCAGTACAGAAAATACTTGGTGGAGATAGGGAGCAAGTCAGTCAACCTGAGCCTTACCCATGGAGTTCACAGTCTATCAGGAGAGACTGTTAGTACCACAAAATCAGGCTTGTGTAAGAGATCATCCCACTGTCAAATCACTGTTGAGAGCAGCTTGAAGAATCCAGTAACATAATTACCTTAGATGGCTCTTAAGAGATGCCAGAAAATATTAGATCAGTGTTTGCACTTGCAGTGTTGCCTGCGGCCCTTAACAAATGCTCAAGGTAACACTGCAGTTGTCAAGCTGTTGGAGATGCATGTTCCTGTTGGTTCTGATGAACAGGAAAATAACTCTTTAGTCTTGGGTGATGAGAATGAGAATCCCTTTACAAACCCAAAAGATCACAGCTAACGAATTAAAGGGAAATCTAGCCTAGAATACTAGAATACTCTGCATATTTGGCAAAATCAGTAGATTTAAGGATAGGTTATATAATTTTTATAGTACTTTAATACAGGAATACATCTTAAATCACAAATCATTTGTCAGAACGCTTTGTAATCATTGCTTTGTAGAATAAGGCAAAAAGTTGCTAATCTGGAAAATTAACCATACATATAGAAGTTTGACAGTTACATATTAATTTTTTATGTTAATTTGCCCAAACTTGCCTATCACTCAGAGTCATATGACTAGTATTTATGGCACTTCCTTTTCTGCTTGCTAGTCTTCAGTATCTACCTTGTAAAAAAACAATTGGAGTTCGGCTAAAAGGTCCACTCTATAGAACAAGCTACAATCACATAGGATCTCCCAATTCTTCAACCTGGAACCTGTGTATTTGGCTCCAAAAGGCAAACCAGGGACTACCACTGGTTTGGTAGAAGCCAAGGAGATGCTGGCTAAATAAGGATCTCTCACACACACTTAAAAATAAGGGGGTCATGACATCTGTGTGTTTTGTTTGTTTTTCTTACCTAAAAATCTAACTGAGACCATCTAAACCTCACTGAACATCATGGTAAGACCATATATCAATTAGAGTAAATCAGGCCCTTTTGCCACCTAAAATACTAAGAAAATTCTTAAATCTTCATGTAATTTGCTTTCCTGGGTCACATGTACAACCTTTTTAATGAATAAAACATTAAGAACTTACAGGGAGAAGCTGTTTCTAATAATGTCATTCAAGTAAATGGAACAGCAATTGTCAAAGAACTACAGATGTTTCTGCATCAAAAGTATTTTGCTTCTGGGTAGCATTTTTATTGAAAACAAATCCCTCTAAAGACAATGCTCTATTCCGTAAAAGACTAAATGCGTTTTCATGAGATTAGGTACACTCTCTTCTGCATTAAACTGCAAGCCCCAAGGACACAAGGACCTTGTTTTATCCACCACTGTGTCCCCACCTCTTGTGTACTTGGCACGAGTAGACATTAAGTTAAATTTTTGATGGTTAAATAGACCAAAGAGAATTTTAAAGGGGAAAGAAGCTGTTCGAATTTTATATTGCTTCACATGGAATATTGGGGTACTCCGATTTCCCCAAAACAAGCAGCCAGTTGCTATCTCAGAACTTTTACTGGTTATAATTCTTGAAAAGCTAGTTTTCCTAAGATACAGGATGCCTGCCAGTACACAAACTATTGTAACTACTTCCCTTTTTGCTTTTAGAGGGGAAAAAATAGCTTAATGACAGTGTAGAATCATGTAGTAAATGTAATTCATTTTTTGAAAGATTCAGCTACATCCTTTTATTTGTTTCATTTTAAATGATCTATGTGCAAACATGTCATCACTCCCTTGATTTTTACCTCATCATTACACATTTTTAGCAGGCTTTATTGTCACCTGAGATTTCTTTTTCTATGACAGGCCAGAGTCTAGATGAAGGAAAATGTGTTAGAAGAACCTTATCCACAGATAGGGACACTTGGTCATTCAGCACATGTTGAGCTTAGGCAGGCACCAGGGTCTGTCTGCTTACCTGCTTTCATTCACACCTGCCTGTTTAGGTGGCCTGAGCTGAACTTCTAGAATGAGTCCAACCTGATCATTTACTGTCTCTGAAAGAAATTATGCTAATGGAAGAAAACAGCCAGTTGGCATCACTTGCTGAGCCAAGTAACATCTTAAAAAAAAAAAATTAAATTTCAGTCTAGGACTTCGTTTTCATAAACCCTCTAGATAAAAGCATCTCTTTTAGAGAAGACCCACTGTGTGCCAGCACCACAGAATTTATGATCTTCTCTCTTGTTCTATGAGATTATGTGGAGTAAGCATCTTAAAACCTCAAATGTTAGTGGATAAACCTCTCTAGATCTGTGAAGAGTGGGATCTTGCTTCTCTCTGAATTCTTGATTTGTCTATAGATATCAAGGTGAGGCATCCCCCAGCAGCCACAGCCCCTTCTAGACATACACATGCATCTGCTAACACGTTGACCCAGGAGATCAAGGGGAGTCTCAGTACTGGAATTGTAAGCAGCATTTTTTTTTTGGTTGCCTACAAAGGCAAGGATGACTGGTAATTTCTTCCAGGTGTAAAGTAAGTCTTAATGGTTTACCATTCCCATTCTCCTTCTTGGATGCTCTGCATTTTCAGCCCTAATTTCCATCTATCTCTTAAGAGTCTGGTTGTAGAGTTAAAAGTATCATCAGTGATTAGGAAGCTCTCTTGCCTCGTTTCATCTATTTATTTACCTTCTGTGATTGCTGATGAAGGTAGAAATTTCCAAAGTCGGCGCCTTTTTTTTGAAAAGATGAATAGTGTAGTTCATCTGCAGTCTGGGATTTGGCCTCAGTCCAGCTCGCATCACACCCCTTTGCCTTAAATGGAAGTTTCTTGTTCAGGAAAGAGGACAGGGATGGAGTCAGAAGATAGGGAAAGGGCCTCTTTGTGAATGATTGGGCCAAGGCTTGCTGATTTTCTCACCAGACACCTAACATTTTTGTTCCTAACTCCTCATATCCATAGTCCAGTTGTCATTAGAGTTGGCATTCCAACCCATCCCTCTGGAGTCATTCGTACCAGGTAAAGAAGAAAGGAGTGCCAGGCAACAGCCCAGACAGCTCACCCAGGAGGAGTTACAGTTGGGCTTTTTGTTTTGTTTTGTTTTGTTTTTTGGCAGAGAAGTGTTGAGAGACACTACTGCTTCCACCCTGTCATTAGTGGGTGGGTAATCGTGAAATAAAATAAGAGATGAATTAGGATAATAAGAGGCACAGGAGAAAGGAGTAAATTTTCCACAAGTAATATTTTTCTCTTCATGGTTATTTAACTTTGAAACAGAACTTGAAAGTAGTAATCATGGTTCTATAGTAGACAAAGGACAGAATATGGGAACCAGACAGGAAGGTGTGATTGCCTTTATGACATTATCTAGAAATGGAAAAATCCACAACTTTCGGGAATACAGTGCTATTTCTATTGCAGGAAAGCAATGAAAAGGAAAAGTCACTGGTATGCTATTGTGCTGTTTGTAGACTTTTTTTTTTTAACCCTAATGAGTATATATCCTTTAGAAGAGCCCTACATCTTCTGCTTTTGTGTTTGCCTCACAGAAAAGCAGATGTGTGGTCATATGGTGTGGTCATAGCTCACTGCAGCCTTCTTTATGTTTGCCTCACAGCAAAGCAGAAGATGTAGTGGCTATTTTAAAGGATATATACTCATTAGAGTTAAAAAATATATAGATCTATAATAATATATATTATATAGCATATAATATATAGTACAGTAATGTATACTTATATATTACTATATATCTATATACTATATCTCTACATATATAATATATAGTTATATACGTTATATATTACTATATATGACTATATTACTATATATAATACTATATATTACTGTGTATAGTAATATAGTATATATATTACTATAATTATATAATATCTAACATTACATATACTATATGTACAGTAATGATTTACTATACAGTACTGTATAGTAATGTTACATATTATATAATGTATAGTAATATGTGTTATATGTATAGTAATATGTATCAATATGGAATACTAAAAGTATTATATTACTATACATACGGTAATATAGTAATATATCCACATCTATATATAGTGATACATAGATATATAGTAAAACAATATCCAGTGGGATTGAGTAAAGGCACAGAAAAACCTTTAAATAGGGTGGACACGTATTTTTAGCTTTCTCATAACAGCCATCTTCCTGACATAGCCCAAAAATAAACAAATGACACCTACTTCTGTTCATTCGTTGATGCAACCAAGATGTAATAAGCAACTACGAATGTCCAGACACTTTGGCAGTGGGGATACAGTGATGGACAAAACAGGCAACGTTACCTCCCCTCTAGGGCTTATAGTCTAGAAGGGGAAACAGACACCAAACAAGTAACCATACTCATCAGTTGTTACAAATGCTGTGAATAAAACTATGGTGTGAGCCGTGTAGAGGCAGCTTGTTTTCTACTGGGAGAACTGAATGTCTCTCTTAGGAATTATAGTGGGAAGCTGCGAGACCGTTATAAGTTGGGGAAGGGGAGGATGGCACAAACCTATTTACATTTGAAGATTATTTTGGTGTCAGTCCAGAAGTAGAATTGGAGAGGGCCCAAAACAAAAAGAAATGTGTCTGCTCTTAAGCATGAAAGTGAATTGAAAGATCCTTTGCTTCCTCGGATTCTTTAAATGTTTTGATTACACTCTGGTTCAGAAATAATAACTAGTATTTTTTTCTGCACTGTGTTTTTTGCCATTGGATAATTTTACAAGGGTCTGAGTAAACTACTTTTGCCTAAAAGTGTTATCTGAATTTTCTTATAATATGAACACTATTCCTAGTTTTTAAATACATTTTGCCATCCACATACACTATATAATTGTGGTTTCATTTTATTTTTCTGTTTACTTAGCCCCCACAGAACCTTTATTGTGTAAGTTTGCGGATGGAGGACAGAAAAAGAGACAGAACCCAAACAAATACATCCCTAATGGAAGACCATGGCATAGAGAAGGAGAGGTGAGACTTGTAAGTCCTTTCTTGAAACTTTAGTGGGGGGTGTGTGTGATCTTGAATGCTCACATGAAAAGTAACATAAAAGGCATCTTAACTTGGCCACTACATTTCTGAAATAGGTGCCAGGATTAAATCTTCCTGTTGGTACATTATAATTCAAGTGATGTCAAATTAAAATTCTTCTCATTATACATGGGGATAACAGAGCGGTTCTCCAGATGGACAGATAGGTGGTGGAAACAGCTGTGTTTACCAGCTAGCTACACATGAAGTAAAAGAGCATTCTAATTCATAAGAAAAACACAAGTGTTTTGGGTTTGTTTTTGGTTTTTTTCAGAAACAGGGTCTCTGTAGGCTGAGCACAGTGGCTCATGCCTGTAATCATAGCACTTTTGGAGGCTGAGATGAGCAGATCACCTGAGGTCAGGAGTTCGAGACCAACTGGCCAACGTGGCAAAACCCCATCTCTATTAAAAATACAAAAATTAGCCCTGCATCGTGGCTCATGCCTGTAATCCCAGCTACCTGGGAAGCTGAAACAAGAGAATCGCTGGAACCCAGGAGGCAGAGGCTGCAGTGAGCTGTGATCACTCCACTGCACTTAAGCCTGGGCAACAGAGCAAGACTCCATCTCAGAAAAAGAAAAAGGAAAGAAACAGGATCCCCATTGTCCAGGCTGGAGTCCAGTGGTGTGGTCATAGCTCAAACTCCTGTGCTCAAGCACTCCTGCCACCTCAGCCTCCTGAGTAGCTGGGACCACAGGGACATGCCACCACTGCTGGTTACTTTTTTAAATTTTTTATAGAGGTAGGATCTAACTATGTTGCCCAGGTTGGCATGGTTTCTTAGAGGGGTTTATGGTTAAAAGAAATTATCCTAAATAATATTATAATTATTTATTTATAAATAGTGTATTTATCATTGAGTTGTTGTTTTTTTTAACCTCTCTTTTGAATAGTTTTTTTTTTTTAAACCCTCAATTACCTAATAAAATGCTGGACCTCCATTTCCCTGTATTGACTTTCCATGAATTATTATTTTAAAAACAATAATAATATTGATCCGAGAATGTCTAGGGAAAGTGTTCTAGAATCAACACTGTCCAGTGACAGCTGCCAGCCACAAGTGACTCTCTGAGCACTTGAAATGTAGCTAGTATGCTAGAGAGATTGATTTTTCATGTGGATTTAAATAGTTGCATGTGGCTTATGACTATCACATGGGACAGTGCAAGTCTAGAGATTAATTTTCATATTTACACTTATTTGGCTAACGTAAACTCCCAATTTTATCAAATACTACTTAAGAACAAACCCGCACCCTTCCCCCAACATTTTTTTAAAGAGACAAGGGTCTCTTTCTGTTGCCCAGGCTAGCGTGCAGTGATATAATCATAGCTAACTGCAGCCTTAAACTCCTGGGCTTCAAGGGATCCCCTACCTCAGCCTCCCCAGCAGCTGGGACTACAGGTGCACACCACCACACCTGGCTAGAAATATAATTTTTAAATCATGCCTTTCTAGATGAATGTTTATATTTCTTTCTCTTTCCCATAGGCTGGAATGACACTTACTTACGACCCAACTACAGCTGCTCTACAGAACGGGTATGTCATTAAGATAAATGCATAATGGCTTGAGAGAAAATGTGAAGGTGGAAAATATCAGACATTTGTTCCATGAATTATTCTATATAAAGGATTACTTAATAAAGGCTTTTGTGTTTGTTCTAGATTTTATCCTTCACCATACAGTATTGCTACAAACCGAATGATCACTCAAACTTCTATTACACCCTATATTGCATCTCCTGTATCTGCCTACCAGGTTTGTACCCTTAGGATTCATCAGCAATATAACCACTTGTGGACCATGAATCTCTGCTACATTTTTATGTGTCTTAAAATTTTGAGCACTTATAATGAAATTTGAGTCAAATATTATGCAGCTTGGATACCCAATTTAGTATGAGCTGCTTTGTATTTGGCAGAGTGATTTACTTTTATGTATAGGAGAATGTAAAGCAAAGGAAGATGGTTGTCAGTGGTCAGTCCTTGGAATCATAGCATTTTGGCACTGGAGTGAACCCAAACACTTCCTTCACCAAAGGGCACTGCTTTTGGACACCATGTGTCCCAAAAATTGAAACTTAAGATAATTGCCATTAGATATAATACAGAGTAGGCGCGTACCCTTGCTTTTGTCTACTCATCAGCAGGAACTGATAAAAGAAGTAAACAAAGATGTGTCTCTAGTAGGTAACATTAAGTGTGCAATGCAGCTGACATTTAAGGCAAAAATATAAAAGCAAAAAGGATGTGACTTTCTGTTTAGGTTTTCGTGTGAGAAGGTTTTACCTTAAATTCCCAACTTACAAACAAAAACTCATGAAGCTTACTTGTTATTTATTATACTGATTTGATTTTAATGCAAAGGTAGCTCCTGTCTGCCATGGACCCAGTGGTGTACGTGCATTTCTCCTCCTGTGTCAGAGAACCTCTAACAGGGTTACTGCCTGGGCCCAGATAGGAGTCTCATAATGGAGTTCAATTGCAAGACATGTGGGAGCAGAGTTCCCTTTCATCGACTGTCGGGATCCTGTGTGACTAAATTTTTGTTGTATTCTTGATTTTAAAACAATTGAATTAGGTGTTGTAGCCCTAATTTCTGGGGTTAGGGGACTACAATATGTAATCTAATAGTTGTGTTATTTTAACTTTATAAGCATCAGTTTCCTCATCTTTAAAATGGGGATAATAATAGTGTTTATCTCATAGGCTTGAGAGAATTATAAAAGCCAAATGAGACAGACTGTGTAAAGAGCCCAGCTGAGGACCTGGCATATCATTAGCACTCAGTTAATGTTAGCTATGACTGTTCTGATCATCATTAATATGCAGGATTAGGTAGTTGATAATGAGTATGTTAGTTATACTTTTAAATAATGAATTGGCCAAAATAAGTAATACCATAAAACTAATTCTGTCTAAAAACATAAAAATGGCTTTGAATAACAGAAATGATTAGATATGCTAAAACTGAAGGTTGACAGTATCATTCACAGTCTCCTAGGCCTCTAGGCTCTTATAGCCTCCCTTCCCTGAGATGTCACTCATTTTCTTTTCTTTATTCTCTCTGGGTTCTTACATTACTTATTCTGGTGCTTCATTCTGCTGGGCATAGTATCTACTAATTTAATCTCTCTTTAGTTATTTTGGATTTAAGATTCCTACCCTTTCCTTGCCTATATAGTGAGATCTGCTCTAGTGCACTTCCCTAATAAATAATTCCTGTGTCTGGTATGAGAAGGTAGTCTTTCTTAACTGTCTGAACTTGGAAACCTCTGTCATTTATATCTTACTAAAAATAGGGGCAAGGGTAAGTTATTCTCAGGCAAATGAAAGATTGTAAATATTAATTTGAATTTATGTTGCTATAAATATTACAGCTATTAACACATTGCTTCAACACCTCTTTTTCCCTCTTTAATATAAAACCAGTGTGTATTTTGGCCACAGAATCATTTTGTACAATAAAAATTAGGAGATCAGTATCAGTAAAAATTTGATATAGCTAACTGGAAACAACGTATTATTTCAACGGCCTTATTTCCTCTACTGGGCATTCTGTATTTCTCTGAGATACTTACGGAATATCACCACATTGCCTGACACTCAGTGCCATATCCTCTAAGACTGATTTTTAACCCCATAACTTCAGGGACCTAGAAGGATTAGTGGATGAGCTTTAAGTGATGTTTGACTCCTGTTTGCAAAATGTTGCTTGTATATGTGCAATTAAGTGGGGGAAAATTTATTTTTCTCTAATTAGGTTTTCAGAGGGCTCCATGACCCTAAAGAGGTTAAAAACCAATAGTGAAGAGTTTACAAAACATTATTATTCCCATTTTATAATTAGAAAATTGAGGAATAGAAATGGACAGCAGCTGATTTGCTGCTTAAGAAAGAAAATTAGATTAGATGTCATAGCTCCCTAACCCCATAATGCTGTAAGCCATTAGATTTTTAAGACCACTGAAGCATATTTAAAAAATGGGGGCATCTGGCCCAAATTAGGGTCTGTAGGGAGTTGTTTGCCTTTCCATCATTTATCCAGTGAAGGCCCTGCACTCGTGTTGGAGTGGGCCTTTCTCCAGTAAACCACCATAAGCTTATGCAATTGGATTTGAGAAATTGGCAGCTGCAAGAAACCACCAATACCCCAGTGGGGAAAGGCTACAGTCCAGATAACTGAAATGTTAACAAGGCAGAAGCACTTAACTTTGGTCTGCCTTAGGTGGCAAAGGAAACCAGAGAAAACAAGTATCGGGGCTCTGCTATCAAGGTAAATCACAATACATTCTTCCCCCATGACTCTTCCCCATATCCTCTCTATTGAACCTCTGGAGTTAACAATAGGGGGTAAAATGCAGGAGGGCTTTGTTGTTAAGAATTAGAAACTTAAATTTACTATAAAATTACATCGACTCTGGAAAGCTCCAGTCATCAAGAAATGGGCTGATACATTTTTCTCTTGAGTGGCAGACTACACATACTTGCTTTCCTGCCACGAAACCTGACTCTCACATCTTATTTCTCAATTCGGAGGGTCTACTGTGTGGATGCCCATTTGACTATAGATGTCAAAATCTAGTTACCGAAGTTTAATTTCCTTAATCTGAATTTCTGCACTAACTAGAAATCATTGACCACCATATAAGATTTCTAAAACTAATGTCCTAGGTATCAAAGAGAAATTGAATTTGGTTATTTGTATTAAATAAGCACATACTTTAAGGATTAGCTTCTTATAAGATGTGCTGGAATTAATCATCATTTATCTGTATTTCTAAGCACCTAATTTGTACCTTGACTGTTAATGCTTTTCATTACTCAGTTATTTCTGTGTTTATCTCCCTTGCATAGATAGTAATTTCTTAGGGGTGGGGCCCATGTCTTTTTTGCCTTTTTCTCTTTGTTGCCTGACACTCAATAATTACTTCTTGAGTGGGCAAATAGAAATTGTTGCTAATCATTTCATCCTATTCAGAGTGACCAGTTTGCCAAGAATTCTAACTGCCTTTATCTTTTTAATCATTGATAGTATTGTTTCCTTGTTTTCCTTCTGTAGATTTTTTAACATGATTAAAAAGAGTTCTAAAGAAATAGGTAAGCTTTTCAATGGAAATCAATATTTCTTTCAAAATCCTCCCCTTTCTAGGTGCAAAGTCCTTCTTGGATGCAACCCCAACCATATATTCTACAGCACCCCGTAAGTTTTTCATCTTAATGACTTTTTGTTTTACAAGTAAGCTGTATGTATGTTCTCTCTGGGTTAAAACCATTTGCCAAGGGTGGTATAGGATTTTGGAAATTTTAAACATAGAATACAAGAATGTACAAATGTATTATAAAACTTCTCATCCTTGTTGTAAAACGACTTGGTAGAAGATACTAAATTTTCTATAAGAACTTAAAATACATCATATTTGAGGCAGGCACCATTTTCTTATTCATCCCAGTCTATAGACATCATTCAATTGAGAGGCTAAATTTTTAATAGTACTTGGGATAAAACAGCTCTCATTTTTTACATTCTGTTTAATGCAAATATAAAGTTCAAAACTGAGATGAATATTTTTATCAGTTTTACTTAACCTTTCTATGGAGATTATAAATACTAAAATGGCATCACGTTATTTAGTAAATAACAAATGTGATTTCTTAATTATGTGAGCATTTATGTTACATTTTTTTAAAATTGAGTTATACTTTACCTTATTATATATTGTATTTTATGTGTTTTTCAAAGACACATAAGATCTAGTTTGTTGAATTAAAAGAAGGGTTGGAAAATTGAAAAATAAGTATGGAGAACAAAGTTACAAAAAGGCTAAGAATGTCCAACACAATGGCCTGTGTGCTCACATGAGAAGATCACAGATTTGGCTCTAAGCTTTCTAGTAACTGATACAAAATGGGAATCCTGATAAGCAATACAGTTCACAATTTGCGTCAAATAAAAACAGATTTGGTTGCTTAGAATCCCAGCACTTTGGGAGGCCGAGGCGGGTGGATCACGAGGTCAACAGATCGAGACCATCTTGGTCAACATGGTGAAACCCCGTCTCTACTAAAAATACAAAAAATTAGCTGGGCATGGTGGCGCATGCCTGTAATCCCAGCTACTCAGGAGGCTGAGGCAGGAGAATTGCCTGAACCCAGGAGGCGGAGGTTGCGGTGAGCCGAGATCGTGCCATTGCACTCCAGTCTGGGTAACAAGAGCGAAACTCTGTCTCAAAAAAAAAAAAAGAAAAAGAACTCTATTCTTGACCTTATGTTCAGACAGGAATTTGTCTCGGGATACCTTTTGAAGTGGATACTGCAAAGTAAGACCCTGTATATGAAATAGCAATCCAGGGATAACAGGTTCCAGATAAGAAATGTTGAGATGACATTTAAGAAGCAGATAAAACATGTTTAGGTGATAACATAGAAGAGCTCTCTGATATATGTATGTCTTTTGTGTGATATATACATATATATTTATACATGTACACATACACACACACACACACATCTTCAAATCCACACTTACCTGTACATGTGTACCTAATATACATGCACTGATCCACACATGCCCATAGCAATCTATCTCCCTGATAATCCATGCTATCCTATTTTGGAATGCTTGGAAATCAACTTTGAATTTGAGGACTTCCTATTACAGATGGTGCCAATGAATGAGAAAAAGGAGCAGAAAACTCCTCCACCATCTTCTAGGCTTCTGAGTCATTTCCGTGTTACCACATGCTTTTTGATGATGCATGTTAAAAAAGAAAGGAAAAAATTTTCTTTCGAAATGTGTGAACAACAAACATTATCTCTGACACACATCTATATCTTTTTTCTTTTTGGCAGCATTTCAGAAAAAGACTGCACATATCTGAGCTTAACATCTTTGAGAAGGCATTAGGAATGTATGCAGAAGGTTGCTATCTGAGGATTCATTACCTTTCCCCACCCAGCTTTAAATTGCCTGATTTAAATCAGAATTAAAGTGCCTGTATACCTAACTCTGTCCTAGATTGTCTAATTATCAATAAATAACATTGTATTTTAAGGGATGCCAGGTACAGTGATACCAAAACATACATTAGTTTTTGTAAAACATGTCAGAATACTTGCATTATCAGATATTGAGGTGATTGCAAAAGTCCAAAAATAAAGAATTCATTAAATTTGGTTTATACAATCAATGTAATCATTTAAAAAATGATAATAATGGTAGTTTTGCAGTAAGCTAGGTCAGTGCTTAGAATAGATGCTAAGTTAAGAGTAAAAACCCAGGATATGAAATTGTTGTTATGCTCTGATTGAACCTGTACAGAAACACACAGAGGCTAGGATCTGGCAGCAGTACCCTGGCATAGCTAACAGTGGTTCTATTGGACTGGCTAAGTTAGAAGTGATTGTTGTTTTCCCTCCTATTTTCTTAAATATATTTAATCTTATTTTTAATGACCAACACTGTTTCAAATGAAATGAAAGTATCTGGACTCAGATTATTAATCATTTCTGAATTGCCTTCCCTCCAGGCACCAAAATGTAACTTAAAGTTCTGAGAAACACTGAGTGAATGAAGAAATGTGTTACTGATCCTAACAACCTGATCTTGAGCTAAATGACCATCTGGATAGAACATTGTTAAACAAGATACTATATTGATCATATTAAATATAATATATTGTTTTGTGACTGGAGAAAACATCAACTGCCCTTTTTTTTTTTTTCCAGTTTTTTTTAAAAAATCATTTTGTAAGCCTAGGCAGGCAATGATGATCAGTTTGTTTTTCTTATGATAGCTCCTCCTGCGGGACTAGCTTGCTTCTAGTTATACAAGTGAAGGGAAAGGAAGGGAGAGGAGGGACAGCAGCTTTAATACAGGGATTGTTGTGAAGTGAATGCCAAGATATTATTTCCCCTAATGCTCTTACAAAACTCTCAGGAAGAGCAATTTAGAAGCTTTTTAGGAAACTGTTTATGATGCCATTTGCAAGATTGAGGGAGGTTGTTTTTGCTTCATGTTCTTCAACAAACTAAGGCATTTCCTTTGCAAAAGTCATTACAGGATCTTAACTCTTGCCTCAGTTTCTCTAATTTTGCTCTTGTCTCCAACTCCCCAGGGTGCCGTGCTAACTCCCTCAATGGAGCACACCATGTCACTACAGCCCGCATCAATGATCAGCCCTCTGGCCCAGCAGATGAGTCATCTGTCGCTAGGCAGCACTGGAACAGTAGGTGGCAAATTAATATATGTCCCTGTAAACAGAGGAGGGTAAATTAATGCAGCCGGTATCTTCCCTATCAAATGATAGGCTCTATGATAACAGATTATGTCTAATCCCCTGTCTTTCCCCCCTACATAACCTTCCATAAAACAAATAGCGATTTCTTGATTAATTGATGAACTGAAAGTCTATTCTCTGGGTATCTCTCCTTAACAAGAATGTAGCACCTACACATGACCACATCTAGTCTTTTATGACTAGTGTCATTTATATCTAGTACCACTGTCCCTGTGGCAGTGTCATGAAGCAAAAGATGAAGATAATACAAGGTGATAAAAGCAGGAAATTATTTATTGCTTATTTCTTCTTTTATGGAGTTTGGGAGCATTGAATCATGATCTTAGTATTGAAATATTTCAACAAAGTCCAGAAGACCCCTCTGGGTAGTGAGGCTGAGCTGGCACCCGATCAGCTTCCAGGTTTAGTACTTAGCATTTTGCTGGTAAGATAGCTAAAGCGTGTTAATTTAGCCTGTATTCTCTGGTGGCTTAAAAGAACAAAGAGTGGTCCATTTTCCCTTCATACACTCAAAACCAGCAGTAGTTTCTTGTGGAGGCTAAGCCAGGGCCATACATACCCAGTGAGATTGACTAGAAATTTCTCCTGCCTTTGGGAAAGGATGATTGTCAGTGTCAGAAAAGCAGGGCTCTGCTGCCTAATCTGCAGTGACCTGTTAGAGGTCTAATAGGTCATTTACCCCTGTGGGCTCCACCTGTAGAAACAGTACTAGGTACTAGTTTAGGGAGCTGCTAGAAAATAATGAGATCCTTTGAGGAGAGATCTTCTAAAATCACACATCAGTGACACTGAATTCTTGAGGGTGACAAACTTTTTTATCTTCACCCATGATAAACTTTTTTATCTTCACTTTGTTAGTGAAGTGTGGGATTTTTAGTTCGACAGATTCAAAAAGGAGAAAACGGTTTGCCTTCCATATGACATATTTATATGCAATATTTAAGGTTCAAGGTAGCCCATTTAAATTTCTTCCTTGAGATTTACAAATACTTTATATATATCTCACAATTCCCCCAACTTCTCCACATTTTGCATGGTTTACCATTGCCCATTCTGACCTCCTCCTTTTTTCCAGTACATGCCTGCAACATCAGCTATGCAAGGAGCCTACTTGCCACAGTATGCACATATGCAGACGACAGCAGTTCCTGTTGAGGTTGGTAGAGACCATCCAGTGACCATTCTCGCTATAAGTATTTTCAGAAATGGGTAAATTAAATAGAACTCAGAAAAATCTACCAGACATCAAATATTTGCATCAACAATTGAGTTTAGCCAGATGTGTTGGCTTATATCTGTAATCCAACAATTTGGAAGACTGAGGAGGGAGACTGCTTGTGGTCAGGAGTTAGAGACCAGCCACAGCAACATAGCAAGATCCCATCTCTACAAAAAAATTAATTTTTAAAAAAATTTACCAGACATGGTGGCTTGGATCTGTAGTCCCAGCTACTGAGGAGTATGAGGCAGAAGGAACCCTTGAGCCCTGGAGTTTGAGACTGCAGTGAGCTATGATCTTGACAAATTAGGGTGACAACAGGCCACACCTCCAAGACTCCCAGAAATATTCTCTACACTTGTAGTGCCTTTCATACCCCTCAGAGTCTCTACTTTGTCTCTTATAAAATGATACTACAGGCACAAAAAGATAAATCTGGAGTTTGCAGTCCCAGTACTAAAGATCATATCAGTGATAATAATGATGAAAATAAATCAGTTGTAGTTAAAATACTTAGTGGAAAAGATAAAGCTGTTTCAGAACTGCTACAGGGATGAGGAAGAAACTATACCTCTTTTTACAAGACTGTTAGTATGGCTAGATAACTGTTCTTGTTATGGAAGATATGAAAGAAGTCTGGCATTTGAATTATGGTTAGAGAGAAAGCTTAGCTTTTCCTGCAAAGTATCCTTAAAATTTCAAGGAATTATGTCAATCTAGTTGATCTTCTGCACTAGGCAGATCCTAAAGGTTCTGATTCCAGAAAAGCATCATAGGACTCTGGCCTGGTGGTGGTGGTGATAATGGTAGTAGTAGGTGGTGGTGGTGGTGGTGGTGGTGGTAGTATTTTACTTCTGTTTGTGCAATTACTGACAACCACAATTACCAGAACTCACGATTCCTTATCTGCAATCTGAAACTCAAAGAAATAAAAATTATATTTGTAACTACTTTAGCATAAAACCTGACCTATGGCAAAACCCAGCTTGAACTTAAATGATACAAAATCTTGAACCCACTTAACTGTGCTGCTTCATGCCTTCCAGTCTAGAACTATTCATATGTTTGATTATGAGGTACAGCCATAGACCCTACTGGAGTTTTCATACTATATACAGCATATGCATATCATATTTCAGATTATAAAATTTGAAAATACCAAAATACAGTTTACATCTGTCCCCAGAGGATAAGTGGGTAAGAGATTTGTTTGATATGCTATAGCTTGATAAGAATAGGAAAGTCATAAACATTTGGATGGGAGGTGCTTTGGGTCTATTAGACATGCCAGCTGCTTAGGAAAACCATTAACTTTGAAAGCTCTACATGATGTGAAGAAATTTAAAGAGTAACTGTTTTTAAGGCACTGCTGGACTCAGGCCTCAGTAGCAGAGCTGAGGTTTTTTCACTAACATGTCTCCTCCATTCTGCTTTGTTGTAGGAGGCAAGTGGTCAACAGCAGGTGGCTGTCGAGACGTCTAATGACCATTCTCCATATACCTTTCAACCCAATAAGTAACTGTGAGGTATGAAGGAAAGGTCTCCATGACTGGGGGAGCTCTAATCAAGCACAATCTATAGGGCTTTTTTTTTTTTAATCAAACTAGTGATTGGGATAACTCAGATTTATCTTGCTGCTTTAATCATGGCCAAGGCATCCAGTCTTGTTGAAAAATTAAAATCAATGATTTTATGAATTTAAAATTAATCATTTTGTCCAAAGAGAACACTTTATATTAAAGCCAAATGTATGATTACTCTCCCCACTAAAAAGAAATAAATAAAAATCTGTGACATCAGAGAACACTAATTACCAAAATTGTCCTATAATATAAGTATCCTGTATTATATTGCTTTAATAATCATAAACTGGAGGACCTGTAGCATAAGATGTTGCTTAATCTAGCATTACAAGTTTAGTAACATCTTAATTATGAATTTAGATAAATGGCAATATCCTTAGATTGAAAGATATTTCCAGCTCTCACTTGAACCTCGAATTTCAAAACTTTTCACTTTGTCATGCAGTCTGTCATAAAATAGCTGTGAAGAACTTAGAATACCCTGGTTTCTGGATTGCCCTGATGATGATAGGTATTTTTGACTTCATAAAGTCACTCTTTAGAGACCCACATGAATTTGACTCTAAATTGGAGAAGAAAATATTTTGCAAGTCCTGGATGTGAGAGGCATTGAAAGTAATCTTCTATTCTAGAGTTTGCATTTATCAGTCTACCACAAGTGATGAGCATAGCCTTTGTCAAACATGTATCTCTTTAAAACAAGAAACAGATTACTGATCTCTGTAGTATTATCACACCAAATCTATAAAAGCATTTGTCTTTTATTTTTCTCTTGCAGATGTACAGAAAGGTGTTCTTACATGAAGAAGGGTGTGAAGGCTGAACAATCATGGATTTTTTCTGATCAATTGTGCTTTAGGAAATTATTGACAGTTTTGCACAGGTTCTTGAAAACGTTATTTATAATGAAATCAACTAAAACTATTTTTGCTATAAGTTCTATAAGGTGCATAAAACCCTTAAATTCATCTAGTAGCTGTTCCCCCGAACAGGTTTATTTTAGTAAAAAAACAAAAACAAAAAACAAAAACAAAAGATTTTTATCAAATGTTACGATGCAAAAAAAAAAAAAAGAAAAAAAGAAAAAAGAAAAAAAAAAGAAAAGAAAACTTCAATTTTCTGGGTATGCACAAAGACCATGAAGACTTATCCAAGTGCATGACCGGATTTTTGTGGTTTTGTTCATTTTGTGTTTAATTTGTGGGTTTTTTTTCCAGCTGTATGAAATGGGCTTTCTGAAGTTTAAATAGTCCGACTTCACCCATGGTGTTCTGTGCTTGCAGTGCGAGTGTTGCTGTAATTCAGTGTTGCCGTCAGTGTCTCTTTTCTTAGCTTTCTGTATTTCTTTCAACGTAGTGTGAAGTGTCTTATCCTTTTCTATGAATTCCAATTTGCCTTAACTCTTTTGATGCTGTAGCTGTTTCAGTAAAAGTTAGTTCAAACTAATGATGTAGAATGCTTTGACCAAATGAGCTGGTCTATTATGCCTTGTAAAACAGCAGCATAGGGCTTTTAAAAGGTAGTCAATAAAAGTTGCTGAAATTTTGGCTTTTTTAAATATGTAGTAGGTGTTTTTAATGATTTTTCACATAATGTGTAAGGTAGTGATATGCAAGAAGGGAAAAATGTTTTGTGTGAAACACATTTTCTGACTGGGGAACTTTTATTAGGGTAAATTGTTTGTAAGGCTGTACGCCAACAGTTTCCTCTGATAGTTTGACTGATTTAGGATATCTGCTGTATGATGCAATGTAAAGTCTTTTTTGCCTTTTTTCAGGAAAAAAAAAAAAAACTAGATGTTCTAGATTTAGTGTAGGTAGCGTTGGGGGTTGGGGTTGGGGGGGCGGGGGAGGGGAGTCACTGAATGTTTTGTCCTTCCTTTATACTAATGATAGTGCTTTAGAGTGAGAATTATGCCTGAAATCTGGCAAACCGAAAAATGTTGCTATTGCAACAAAGTGGCAAAAGCTAAAAGTAAGGATTTATCTTCAAACATAAGCTGAGATATGAATAGAAGCAAAATGATTGGCTACTAGCTCTCTCTCTCTCTCTCTATTAGGTAAATTTGAAAAATAAAAATGACTTGGCACTTTTAAAGGTAACTTCACCAAAGACCGAAGAGCCAGTAACCAGTAGCTCCAACTTGTCTCAGCATCACATCTTCTGTGCTCTTTATTTTTGCCGGACCAGTTTGCGGTTAGGAGAATGTGCCTTTTTTGTACCTTTGCATTTAGGTTTTATAATTTTAATTGATGTATGGACACACACAAACAAGCATGAAGGAAGATTTGGATCCAAGCAGTGCCACACTTTACATCATCACTACAAGTGTTCAAGTGTAAAGAAAACCAATTTTGAAACTATGAAATTCCTGATTCATAAATACAGTTATTTCTACTTTAGTACATATAAGATAATTCACTGTTATTAAAGCTCTTTTATTAAGGCAATTGCATATGTTTTAAAAGCAATGGTAAATTAAGTTGTCTTCCAGAACTGTGTACTTGTCTGGTCAGCTGTATATGATCAGTTATCTACCTCAAAGTCTATTTTCTTTTGTGCTGGGACAGGTTGCTGGCCCTCCCTGTTTCCACAGACCAAATCCTCCTAGCTCAGGAGCTAGGGCTAAGCAGTTATTTCTTTTGAGTATTTTTTAGTTCTTAAATTTTATGCTTGTATTTGATGATAGATGTCAGTGACATTTCATAGTTTCAAAAGTCCTTGCTGCTCTGAGAAGTGTAGATTCTAGTGAAAATTACATAGTCATAAGAGAAATGTGTTTTTGTTTTTGTTTTGTTTCATTTTTTTTAAAGTTGTGGTATTATTGGTTCTATGCTCCCTGGAATATTACTGCTTTGTCAAAGTCCAGACTGAACGCAGCACCCTCTTGTACCTAGTACAGTTATAAACCTGGGTCTCTCACTACTTGATATTTTTGCATTAGTTAAGACAGAAATTTGATCGCTCGGTTAGAGGGGAGGGGAAATCTGCTGCTAGGAATGTCTGAACTAAGTGCCATACTCGTCTGGGTAAGATTTGGGAAACATAACCTCTGTACATAAAAAAAAAAAAAAAAATCAGTTAAACATCACATAGTAGACAGCCATTAAATTATAAAAAAAATTAATTTATGAAGAAAGACCTTTTGTACAGATTGAAAAAAAAGATTTTCATAGAGATATCTATATGATCAAGAGAGTTAATTTTTTATTTTTGTTTTACTAGTGCCACAGACTTGCCAGTGGTAACTTATTTGTCCGGTTCAAGATAACTCTGTAGTTTTCTTTCCTAGGACTTGTTGTTAAACGCCAAAAGACATTTTTGAACTGTACATTTGATCAGATTGTTAGCTTTTCTGTTTTATTTCTTTTGAGAACCTTTGAATAAAAAACATCTGAAATTTTATTTTTCCTGTCAATTTTTTTTAAGTAGATTAAGTATATATCAGAATTTCATTTCTGATCTCTTTCTTCAGCTCAGTATATTGGTTTGAAAGTTATGTCAGATACATTATATCTTCAAAATACACTTCCTTGAAAGGAATTGGAAAAACCTTTCCACCCCCCTCTTTCTGGTTATTTAAATCTGTGTAATGACCAGAGATGTCAACCTGGCTCCGCACATGTCATCTCAGCAAATGTGCAGCCCAAAATACACCAGTAGTGGTCTATTCTTAAAGACCAAAGAACCAGACCCTTTTTCTTCCTCCTTTCTTGCTGCTACCCCTCGTCTATTTCATTGCTTGTCAATGCTCAACAAGGACAGAGTAACAACAGCCCTCCCACCTGTGGTAGGGAAGCACATGGGCAAGGACCTTAGGATGATCTTATCCATGCCTTTATGACCTGTTCAGCTGTTCCCAGTTGGAGGCTCCATGCAGCATTCACAGAGGAGTCAGAACTCCTCTTTCCCTCACATGGCTGCTTTATGGGATTTCATATGCAAAATTTCACTTAATATGCAAAATAGGCCCCTTCTGCCCATAGTGGAGTAAACGTTTTAGTATGGTGATCCAGTATTTATTTCCTGGCTTCCAGTGACTCTGTCATGATGATAAAAAGAATGGGCAAGGAAAAGATGCAGTCCTCTCCATTTCTGGGTGCAATGTGGATGGTGTGCAGGTTGAATTAGATTAAGGGAGGGGTCAGAGCACTTAACTTGTCAGAGCCAAGAAATCGCTGGTACTTGATGGCTGTTTCAGAGAAGGAACCATTCCTCTGATGCTAAGTGGTCCTTCAGAAAGCAAGATGTCAGGGAGGAAAAAAACATGGCCTCTTGAGACAAACCCAGGCTGCTAAGAATGTAAGCTGTGGTCTCATTTTGCGTTCCAGCCACACACCTAAGTGCTCTTTCCTATGACCAGAGGTAGGAGAGAAATGCAATTCAGGCTGCTGGGCACCTTCGGTTTTGTTAACCTTATTTTTGTTCTAGCTTCTCGCCGCAGCTGAAGTCCGGGGCCATCCATCTGGCTGCATTATATATTGAAACCTGTAAACACACTCAGGAGCACCAGTGTAGGGAAAAGGGAGGATCAAGCCAGTGATGGTGCTTCACAGTTGCCGCTCCCATATAACTAAAGGGTTTGTGGCACCTTTGGGGTAAACCCCACCTTGGTGAAAGCTTGAGACTGAAGTGGAATTAATTCTGGGGTTGGCAGTCGCTCTGTGGTCTACATATTTTCCCCCACTATAGTGGCTGGGATGAGGAAAGCCATGGGGTTGAGGGAGAGCTCCGTTTTTCACCCCGCTGCTACACCCTTCATGGCCAGTGGCTCTAGGTTTATCCGTTAGAGCTGAAATCCCACAAATACTGATTTAAAATTCGCTAGGAGAAAGGCAGTGCCTCCCAGCCTGAGCAGGGGCTCAGTGGATGTTAAGATAGGACTGATTATATCCTCATTCCATTAGGGTAGCCAAAAAGGAAACGATCCAGCGCCATTGGGACAAGGGTCACTGACCTCTCACAACCACCCTGCCCCTCCCACAAAAAGCCTGAGATGTCAAGTAAGTGGGTGAGGGAGGAGAGCACGGAACTCAGGGTTTAAGGAAGGCCAGGCCATCTCTCCTCTTCAAATAGCACCGCGATGAGCTCAGCCCTCTCAGTCCCGGCCGAGAGCCAGATGGCGGTCACGTGGCCGCGGGGCATCCAGGGCGCAGGGTCCTCGGCACAGCTGAGGGGTGCGCGCCGGGCGAAGGAATTCCAGCCCCGCGAAATGGCTCCGGAGTGTCTCCCGTGACTCACTCAGGGGCTGCGGAGGGCAAGAGACTGTGTGAGCCTGAGCCGCTAGAGGGGGTGTTTTGTTCCTCAGCCATCAGGCCCCGAGCTCTGCAGGCTGGAAACCCAGCCCCTCGGCCGCGGGCAACAGGAGGCCCCCAGGGTGGAGGTTGAGTCTCTCGGGGCACACAGGCTGGGTCACAGGGTTCTTGAATTTGGGGTTCCTCGTCAGACTGGAGCAGGCCGTCGCCGGTGCTGGCAGCAACCCTCCTTGTGAGCATCATTGCTCAGACTGGGGAATGACTGAAATGTGGCTTTGAAGGTGCAGAGAAGCTGGGGGCTAGGGAGAAAACCACGCGCCTTGCCAGACCACGTGACTCGGCGCGAGAAAGCGTTGGCAGGGCTCTGGGCTGCTCAGAATTAAAAACCCATGGCTTTGAATTAAATACAAACTCTAACATTGTTCTTTTTTTTTTTTTTTTTTTTTTTTTCGATGCAGCACTGAGAGACTAAGATTTGATGTAGGTTATTCCAGTGCTCACACAAGACCCAGACTATAAACCAGACTGCAGGGATTTCCTACCCTCTAGTATCCTTGAAGCCACCTGCCCTACTTGAACAACTCCAGGGGCCATACACTGCCCACCTCACAGGGCATCAGGTATCTTTAGGGAACAGCTCTCAAACTTGTTTGCAGAGGAGTCCAACTTGTGGCTTTGAAATTCCCACTTACTGGCCGTAGTGCTGCCAACCCGGTTGCCACAGAATCAGTCATATTTCAGGTGTGGAAACGTGATCCATGGTTCTGCCCTTCTCTGTGTCGAGCATTCCTTCCAGCTTTTAACTCTTCCGCGTCAGCCCTGATCACTCCACGTCATCAGCTAACTTTCCAGATGCACCACAGTTGACTCAGGATAAAACCCAAAACCGGAGGGAGAACTTGGGGCTTCACCTGTCTCCCCTGCCCTGCTGGATCTTGCTATTACAGGTGAAATGGTTTCCTTTTTGACTTCTCAGACATACCACAATTCTTAGAACTTGTAGCCAGTGAAAATCCCTACGTTGCTTTATTTTTTAAATCACAGTTATGCTAAAGACATGCAAGATAATATGAAGTCATTTTAAAATGAAGACATTTTAGGGCCGGGCGCGGTGGCTCAAGCCTGTAATCCCAGCACTTTGGGAGGCCGAGACGGGTGGATCAAGAGGTCAAGAGATCGAGACAATCCTGGTCAACAAGGTGAAACCCCGTCTCTACTGAAAATACAAAAAATTAGCTGGGCATGGTGGCACGTGCCTGTAATCCCAGTTACTCAGGAGGCTGAGGCAGGAGAATTGCCTGAACCCAGGAGGCGGAGGTTGCAGTGAGCCGAGATGGCACCATTGCACTCCAGCCTGGATAACAAGAGCGAGACTCCGTCTCGAAAAAAAAAAAAAAAAAAAAGAAGACATTTTAATGACATGGAAGATGCTTAGGATATAACGTGAACAAAAAGTGTTGGGAACAGAACCATAGATACAGTATGATTAAAAGTATGAAACTATTTAAGTATAAACTACAAAGAGAGGCTGAGCACAGTGGCTTATGCCTGTAATCTCAACACTGGGAAGCCAAGGCCAGAGGATTGATTGAGGTCACAAGTTTGAGACCAGCCTGGGCAATATAGCAAGACTCATCACTACAAGAAAATTTTAAAAAGTAGCTGAGTGTGGTGGTACACACTTGTAGTCCTAGCCACTTGGGAGGCTCAGACAGGATTGCTTGAGCCCAGGAGTTTTAAGTTGCAGTGGCTGCTATGTTCATGCCTCTAACTGTAGCCTAGGTGATAGAGAGATAGCCTGTCTCAAAAGTAAGTAAGTAAATAAATAAATAAATAAATCACAAGGAGAAAGTACTTCAAAATGCTTAGCAGGGCAGGAGGATTATAGAAAGTCTGTATTTTCTCATTTATACTTCCCTGAATAATTTTTCCAGTTTTCAACAATAAAAACATCTTATGATCAAGAAATTTCTTTAACAAAGAATGTTGTCGGATGATCCTGAAATTATGCAAGTTGCTATGCTCATATTCCAACTAAACACATTTGATCGATTTTTTTGTGTTTGAAAAATAACTGCGCCAAATAGTGGCAGACATAAAGTTGATACGATGTGGTCCTAGTCCTCAATGAACAACCTTAAACAGAGACACAAGTCTATAAGTGACGATATTGTAAGGCGAAGTAAGAAAAGAGCTAAATAAAGAGCTCTGGGAGTTCTGTGAGGGGGCGAAGATAATGAAAACATCTCTCCTGAGATTCTCAGAATTTCTGCATTTCCAACCAGTTCCTTTTTTACCAATCGGAATTCACTTGAGAGCAGCCATTTTCCTCACCGGTTCCTCTACCTTCTAAGAGATGAAATTGTCAGGCAGACAGAGGAAGTCTTTGATAGCTCTAGCCTTACCAGAATGCGACTTGAGCAGATATCCAAAGAGTTGACATTGCTGTCACTTCTGCTCTGAAAATATTGGAATGTGTAACAAGAAACTACTGTCTTGTTTTTTTTAATCAAGTAGGGTATGGGATACTTTCCAGGTAACGTCGTTTTGACTTCTTTTACCCTTGGTCACATATTCTCCACACATCAGATTTTGGATTTGCAAAGACTTGTATAGTTTTCTGAGCCCTCCATATATCTTCAGAAATATTCTATTATTTTCTTCAGGGACATCTAGGCAGGAATCCCATTTTACCCACTTTGTAACTCGTGTGCTTTGACACATGTTCAAGACTATAAATATTGTTCCTGGCCTCCTAGCCAGGAACAACAATTTTTCCTAAGAAATATGTGAAGGACCTTCCATTATTATTTTCCCCCTAACATTTAGTTCAATTTTATTGAGAAAATTTTGTATCCTTCAACTTAATTCTTCCAATGATCTGAGTTTTTTGATTTACAAACCTGTATTTTACCAAAATTTGAGGTAACTTTCAAGGACACGCAATTAATTAGAAATGTAGAACTCTGGAGTTGAGAAATTAACAGGGAAGAGACATAAGGAGTACACAGAATGTGGTTCTATAGGCCAAAAGTTCTCCACCATCACTACAGTTAAACCTCAATAGTTATGTTTCCCGGCAGCCAACGTAAAAAGGGAGAAAAGAACACGCATCTGTAGCTCTGACTGTCAAAAAGAATAAAGCCTGCC